AGGTGCTTGGCAAAGACTTTGCAGACCTTGCATGGGGCATGCTCTAGGCTCAAGATGGCGAGAACAGGTGACATCCAGAGGCGACGGCAGCGGGAGGCAACTGCGCATGAGCACCAGTTCATCATCTCGCGCCAGCGGACGAAGCACCTAAACGTTGCGGAGCAGGGCAAGTGGCAGGCCAGGTGCGGGCTGCTGGCTGCTGGGTTACTCCGAGGAGCGTTACAAGAGGCGAAGTTGCAGCGCTGGGTGCAAGACAGCCAGGCCAAGATGAAGGAGTACGACCAGAAGCTCTTCAAGGAGAGGCGCGCACGGTGGGCAGACAGGTTGCAGGAGGCGGCAGCAGGTGCAGCGGGTGGCCTACACAAGCTAAGCAAGGCTGCTACTGTATGGAGGCCACGCAGGGGAGATGCCATGGAGGGCTCGGCAGACCCCATCGAAGCGGCGGAGTACACCCCCAGGGAGTGGAAAGAGACCTGGAGGGTCGGCGAGCAGATCCAGGAGGAGGTAAGACGGTGGGAGTGCGAAGAGCGTGACAAGCTCGAGCCTTTCACGGGACAAGACGTGGACAAGCTCAAGGAGGTAGCCCGCACCTTCAGAAATAATACGGGGGTAGGTGTCGACAGGTGGCATCCCTCCATGCTGCAGGGCGCTTCGGATATAGCGTACGACAAGCTGTTGGACTTCTACATGGAGGTGGAACGGACCTTGTACTGGCCCATCCACATGGGCACAGTGCTGTTCTTCATGATCCCGAAGACCTTCACCACGGACAGGGTCATCGGTTTGCTGCCCACAGCCATCAGGGCGTGGGAAATTATGCGGGAGCCGTACATGGTCAAGTGGGCCACGCAGAACTACAGGAGCTGGGATTGCACGAGCTACGGCAAGGCGGCGGAGGATGCGGCCTGGGAGGTGTTGCTCAGCCACGAGATGGACGACGCGGAGGAGCAGAGCGAGGAGACGCAGGCTACGATCACGGCGGTGTTGGACTTGGTGAAGGCTTTCGAGAAGGTCAGCTTGCACGTATTGTGGGAAGCTGGCAAGCAGCTCAATTTCAACACGGGGGTGCTGGCTGTGGTGTGCTCATACTTCGCCATGACCAGGCGCCTCATTGTGGGTGACTCGGTGTCCAGCGAGACCCAGACGGTGGCCACCATCGTCGCGGGTAGCAAGTTCCCAGTGTGCTTCTTGAAGATGGTCATCCAGTCCACGTTGGACGGCCTGGTGGTGGAGAGGCCGAGGGCGCGATGGAGAATGTAGGTGGACGGCTTGCGCGTGCGGTTACGACAGCAGCACCAGTACATAATTACGGAGTTCGGAGGGACAACCGACAGTTGCTTCAGAGGCTTCGAGAAGATAGGCCTGACGTTCTCGGTGGGCAGCAAGGGTAAAGGCGCTGTAATGGCGGGCACTAAGTGGGCGCGAAAGGCCGTGACAGGGCCGATGCGTGCGCGAGGACTGTCAGTGGTGAGGGCCTGCCCGTACTTGGGGGTTGACATCGTCACGCACGGTACGGCGGCGAAGGCCAAGAACGGCAAGAGGCATGCTATTATGACGGCCAGGAGTCGGAGGCTGCTCACCTTGAAGGGCGGGCGCAAGATGACCAGGGGCGTTGGCTTGGTGTTCAAGTGTGGTTTAAAGCGCTCGGTCTTGTACGGGTGTAAGTGTTTAGGCATGCCAGACCACCAGCTACGACAGCTACGACGTGAGACAGGACGATTACTACCAGGTGGTCGTGGAGCCCGAAGCCTCACCCTCCAGCTGGCGGTTGCGCGGGAGGAGCCAACGTACGAGGTCACCGAGGCGCCGATCGTAAGGTGGGCGCGAGCAGTGCGGCATAGCGCACAAGACGAGGATGGAGCAGGACAATGGGACAGCATGGGCACCATGTTGCAGCAGGCATGGAGACGGCAGCAGCAGGAGGTCGGCATGAAGCCAGCGTGGACCCGAGCGCGGGGGCCAGCAGGTGCTGTCATCATGTCCATGAGAAGGGCCACGTGGGCGTGGCCTGCGTGGCATACGTTTGTCTCGAAGGAGGGCTTCGGGCTGAACATGCAGGAGGTGTGCCCTATGGACGTCGCAGCGATGGTGCGCAAGGACGTGCAGGCGACCCTCTGGGAGGAGTGGACGCAGGCAGAGGAGCTCAGGAGCCTGAGCCCAATGCCTTTGGTGGCACCAGCGGTGGCGCAGTTGCGAGCACGTGATTCCCCGAAGCATGCCAAGAATGCAGCGAAGAAGATCTTCATCGGAGGTGCGTGGACAATGGAGAAGCCCTGCACATGTAGTATCGTGCCCACGGACATCTGCATGGCTTGCGGTGAGGCGGTGGGCACCGAGCACCATCGGTACTACAAGTGCACCGCGCTCAGGGACCAGCGTTTGCAGGCGCAGGCGGACTGGCAGCACGTAGCTGAGCAGCAGGACACCAACATGCTGTGGACGCGTGGGCTGGTGACGTCTCCAGAGGCGGACTGGAAGTTCGTTGGCATTGCGGAGGACCAGTACTACGAGCAGGTGGTCGACGGTGATGAGGACTATCTCACAGGCGACATCGTCTGTGATGGCTCAAAGCTCGGGTACAGCGACTGGGCGCAAACGGGCTGGGCAGCTATGTCGCTCACCGACAATGGCACGGCGAAGATGCAGATGTGGGGCCCGTTGCCGTGTACACTGCCGATCCATAGGAGGGTTAAGCGAGCAGAGATGTGGGCTTTTCTCAAGGTGCTGGAGCGGATGCTGCCGCCTGGTTGCGTGTACACAGACCACAAGGGTATCTTGGAAGGTTTGTAGAAAGGTGAGCGGTGGCGCACGAGCTGGAAGCGACCACATGCGGACCTATGGCGAAGGATCTGGCACAAGGTGAAAGACCTGGACCCGGATATACAATGCGTGAAGCACGTGAAGGCCCGCAGGTCCAAGGCCAGGATCCAGCAGCTCGAGGGCGGCGACCTGAATATTGCGAAGGGCAACATTGAGGCTGACTTGCTGGCGAAGGCGGGCGCGGAGCAGGACGCGCACTACGGCAAGCACCAGGCGCTTGAGGACCTTGCAGGGCGCGTGCGTTGGGCGCGGCAGAATATAGGATGGTGGTACCAAAAGATGGGCGGTACGTGGCCAGACGTGCCGCCCAAAGAAAAAGGAGTACCGAAGCCGCTGCTCACCCTGACCGAGCACGATATCGTGGAGACGGATGGGTGGCAGGTGTGCATGAGGTGTGGCATGCGTGCGGCGCCCAAGAGGATGCGCATGAAGCTGTGGCAAGCGGAATGCGTGCGACCACGGTGGCAGGCGACAGGCTCGAGCAGCTCGGGGACAGGCAGGTCGCTAGAAGCCAGCGTGGCCATCGCGGCGGCAGCTGCAGCAGCAGCAGCAGCACGCCCAGAGGTACAACACGAAGAACGTGCAGAGCCTGAGGAGCAGGACAGGGCTCATCGTGTTGAAGTTCATGGTCCGTACGTCGTGTGTGTGGTGTGCGGGGCGCACTCGGCGAGGCGACGGGCGGGTTTGGGCGCGGCATGCCCAGGCCCGCTAGCTCCTCGTGGGCGCTCCACGAAGGATGACGCAAAGAGGAAGAAGCGGGGCAGGATTCTGGCTGGGAAGAATCCACAGAACGGCAAGCCGCTGGAGCAGGGGACAGTCCTGCCTGTGCGGCGGGGGGTTTGAGAGCGAGCTCCGCATGGGGGAGCACCAGTTGCACTATGTGAGCATGGTGAACATGCTGGTGCAGGTGAGGCTGGAGGGCCAGCCAAAGTTCGTGTTCGAGCTGGAGGACCAGCTGAACCATGCCAGTCAGGCCTGAGGCGTGCCGCCGTCTGCGGCGAACGGGCCTCTTGGCGGGAACCGCTGGGGGCTTGGGGGAGTTTTTTTTTAAGGCATCTTGGGGGCCTCTTGGAGGCCTCTTGGGGCCTCTTGGGGCTATTTGGGAGGGGTCTGGGAGGTATCTTGGGGCCATCTTTCGGGCGATCGATCACAGCTGGGGCGAGCATTTTTGTCAGTACCCCCGTCGGGGCCACGATCCTCGTGAGGGGTGTCGAATTTTAGCCCTCCCAGGGATAGAAAAAGGACCCTCAGACCACCCGCGAAACCCCCTCTCCAGGTCCATGGGGGAGGGGGTAGGGGGAGGGGTAAACCCTTCCCCGAAGGGGAAAAAGGGGGGGTGAGAACAGAGAGAGCTCGCTAAACCACTCACGCCCAAAGGGCTGGTGGGATAATCGGAGCCAGTCGATGGAGGCAGTGTTGGGTGCATCTTGGGCGTTGTTGGAGGCGGAGCTTGACCAAGCCATCGGACCATGTATTCCCCGAGTCTCGCCTCGACACCTTCGGGGAACATTTGGGGGGAAAAGAGACGGAGAAGGAGAGGGGGAAACAGCAGGAGGGAAAAGGAAATGGTTGAAAGCTTCTTGGGGCACTTTTGGGCTCTGGGTGCTTTGTGGGAACTTCCTGTGGACCTTTTGCATGCTTCTCGGGAGGCCTCCTTGGCCTTTTTGGGGACCTCTGGGGGCTCTTTGAGGGAGTCTTTGGTTGTCTTAGAGCGTTCCTGGCCCATCTGACGCCGTCCGAAACCGTCTTTGAGGCCTCTCGGAGCCGACTTCAGGCCCTCATGGGCCGTGGCCGGGCGGTCTTCGTGGCAGTCTAGGCGTCTTGGAGGCCTCTTGGGTCGTCTTGAGGCCTTCTTTGGACGAACTGGAGGCATCTTGGACTCTCTCGGGCCGTCTTGGAGGCCATCTTGGACCATCTTGGGCGGACTTGGGGGCCATCTTGGAGGCCATCTTGAACCGTCTTGGGGGATTTTTCTGGGATTGAGCTCCTGGAGCTCCCTTTCGGGTGGCCGGCGGGACGGGCCGAAGCGCCAGGGGGAGTTCCTCTGGACAAAGAACCAAAACCAAAAGCGGATGGTCCGAAGCAATTGTGGCTCAAGGTTCCGAGGGGCCGTCGCCGGCCTCCCAGGGCTCCGCTCGGGCGTCTCTCGTTCTTTTGAGCTGTGCACATCTGCAGACGGCATGATGTGCCTGCGCACGTCTCACAGCGTCGGCGCGCTGCTCCTGCTGCTGGCAGCGCACGGCGCCCCGAGCGCCGGGTCGCGGTCGCCGGCGAGCGGGACGCTGGCCCGCCCGAGGCTGGAGGGCTCGGCGAGCGGTCGCCCTCGCGAGCCGCAGGCCGAGTTCGGGAGGCGCCAGGCTACCAGCGGCGCGCATTTGCTCAAGCTTGGGGCGAGTGATGGGGTCGCAGACGACTATTTCGGATACGTGGTGGCCGTGAGCTCCGACGGGGCCCGCGTGGTGGTGGGGGCCCATGCTGACGACGCCTATTCTGGCTCCGTGCACGTGTTCAACGGTACCTCGGGCGAGAGGCTGCTCAAGCTTGTGGCGAGTGATGGGGCAGAAGGGGACTATTTCGGAATGGCGGTGGCCGTGAGCTCCGACGGGGCCCGCGTGGTGGTGGGGGCCTATTATGACGACGACCAGGGCGACGGGTCTGGCTCCGTGCACGTGTTCGACGGTACCGCCGGCGAGAGGCTGCTCAAGCTTGTGGCGAGTGATGGGGCCGCATACGACTATTTCGGATACGTGGTGGCCGTGAGCTCCGACGGGGCCCGCGTGGTGGTGGGGGCCGACGGTGACGACGACAATTTGGCTCCGTGCACGTGTTCGACGGTACCTCGGGCGAGAGGCTGCTCAAGCTTGTGGCGAGTGATGGGGCCGCAGACGACCGTTTCGGAATCGCGGTGGCCGCGAGCTCCGACGGGGCCCGCGTGGTGGTGGGGGCCTACGGTGACGACGACCAGGGCGGCTGGTCTGGCTCCGTGCACGTGTTCGATGGTACCTCGGGCGAGAGGCTGCTCAAGCTTGTGGCGAGTGATGGGGCCGCAGACGACCGTTTCGGAATCGCGGTGGCCGCGAGCTCCGACGGGGCCCGCGTGGTGGTGGGGGCCTACGGTGACGACGACCAGGGCGGCTGGTCTGGCTCCGTGCACGTGTTCGATGGTACCTCGGGCGAGAGGCTGCTCAAGCTTGTGGCGAGTGATGGGGCCGCAGACGACCGTTTCGGAATCGCGGTGGCCGCGAGCTCCGACGGGGCCCGCGTGGTGGTGGGGGCCTTCGGTGACGACGACCAGGGCGACACTTCTGGCTCCGTGCACGTCTTCGACGGTACCACCGGCGAGAGGCTGCTCAAGCTTGTGGCGAGTGATGGGGCAGAAGGCGACTTTTTCGGAATGGCGGTGGCCGTGAGCTCCGACGGGGCCCACGTGGTGGTGGGGGCCTACTATGACGACGACCAGGCTGGCTCCGTGTACGTGTTCGACGGCACCATCGTCACCACCAGGACGGCCACGAGTTCCGCGACGTCAAGCACTATTACCACCATCAAGACAACCACCGAGACGACAACTGAGACGACCACCGTGACGACCACCAAGACGGCCACGACGACCACTGATACGGGCACGAGTTCGGCCACATCAAACACCACAGCCACCACCGAGCCATGGGAAGTAATTGCAGTCGTGATCTTGGCTGGTATCTTGATCTCGTGCTTGGGCTGCGCTGTCGCGCTGGGCTGCCTGGTGAGGCGCGGGCCGTGGCAGGGCCCAACACCCTAGCGCCGCATTCACAAAGCGGGGGCGGCGGAAAACTCGGGTTGTGAATTTGCCCTGTTGCGCTGACCCAAGACGGTCGGTCTCCACGCCCCCTGTCCTTTGATTCCTTAGGAATTTGCAGAGGAAGAGCAGCGTTGAAGTATATGTGATTCTGTACTTTTCTTCCTTTTGAAATTACATGTTTATGTTTTTTTGTGTTGCCGGTATACACATATGTGTTGATTTTCTCTGTTGCTGATATACATATAACATTGATTTTTGCTGCTGCTGATATATATATATTTATATATATATATATATATATATATATATATATCCCGGGGGACGAGGTCCCCCGGCCGAGCCCAAGGACCTCGGGGGCGCATGGGGGTGCAGGGCCCCCAGGGCCGCTCGGAAGGGTTCCCGTTCGGCTCCAGAGACCGCCAGGGCGGGCTCCAGCCCAGCCAAGACAGCCCGCGAACGCTCCAACACGCGCCAGCATGGCTTCCAGACGAGCCCAGCGGCCACCAACACGCCCCAAGCGGCCTCCAAGACGCCTCCCAAGAGAGCCCCAAGAGGCAAAAAACGCTGTTTTGTTTTAATTGGTTTTTCCATTGTTTTTTGTCATCTCGCTTTTTCCTGCTTTCCGACGCTCCAAGACGGCCCAAGAGGCCCCCAAGAGAGCCCCAGGACGGCCCAAGAGGCTCCTAAGCCGGCCCCAAGACGGCACAAGAAGCCCACAAAAGCGTCCCGAGACGGCCCAAAAGGCCCCCAGGACGGCCCAGGAGCCGCCCAAGACAGCTCCAGGAGGGCCCCGCCATGGCCTGAAGACTGCCTAAGCGAGCCCAGCGGACCTCCAACAAGCGCCAGCGTGGCCTCCAAACGAGGCCAGAAGCCACCAACACGCCCCAAGCGGCCTCCAAGAGGCCTCCCAAGGAGCCCCAAGAGGCCACAAACGTTGATTTTTCATTGTTTTTTTTCTATTTGTTTTGCCTTATCGCTTTTTCTGTTTTCCGACGCTGCCAGACGGCCCAAGAGGCACCCAAGACAGCCCCAGGACGGCCCCAGAGGCCCCTGAGCCGGCCCCAAGACAGCCCAAGAGGCCCCCAAAGGCGTCCCAAGATGGCCCAAGTGAGCCCCAAGACAACCCAGGAGCCGCTCAAGACAGCCCCAGGAGGGCCCCGACATGGCCTGACGACTGCCTAAAAGGCCAGCGAGCCTCCAACACGCGCCAGCATGGCCTCCAGACGAGCCCACAGGCCACCAACACGCCCCAAGCGGCCTCCAAGAGGCCTCCCAAGAGAACCCCAAGAGGCCACAAACGCTGATTTGTCATTGGTTCTTTCGATGTTTTTCGCGTTCTTGTTTTTTTTGCTTTCCGACGCTCCAAGACGGCCCAAGAGGCCCCCAAGAGAGCCCCAGGACGGCCCAAGAGACCCTTAAGCCGGGCCCAAGACGGCCCAAGACGCCCCCAAAGGCGTCCCAAGACGGCCCAAGAGCGCCCCAGGACGGCGCAGGAGTCGCCCAAGACGGCCCCAGGAGAGCCCCGACATGGCCTCAAGATTGCCTAAGCGAGCCCAGCGGACCCCAAGAGGGCCCCACGAGGCCGCAAGAAGCCCCCCGAGGCCACCCAAGCGCCCCCCAAAAGGCTCCCCGGAGGCTCCCAAGAGGCCCAACAACTCCTCCCAATACGCCCCAGAGACTTCCAGTATGCCTCCAAAAACTGACCCCGAGAGGGTCATGCGAGGCCCCAAGACAGCCCAATGATGGCCACGCGAGAGCCACACCATACATTATGATGATGAGGAGGCGTAAGTAATGATGGCGAGGGATGTTGATGACAAGGATGGAAGGGGAGCGAAGGATGAGGAGGACTGGGGAGTGACTAGAGGTGAGGAAGGACGAGAACGAGGTGTAGGAAGAGAAGGAGCGGCAGATTGAAGAGAGCGGGGAGGACATGGAGGAGGCTGATGATGATGATGAGGAGGAGGAGGAGGAGGAGGAGGACGAGGAGGAGAGGAGGACGGGGAGCAGTGGGGGACGAGGTCCCCCGGGGGACGAGGTCCCCCGGCCGAGCCCAAGGACCTCGGGGGCGCATGGGGGTGCAGGGCCCCCGGGGCCGCTCGGAAGGGTTCCCGTTCGGCTCCAGAGACCGCCAGGGCGGGCTCCAGCCCAGCCAAGACAGCCCGCGAGCGCTCCAACACGCGCCAGCATGGCTTCCAGACGAGCCCAGCGGCCACCAACACGCCCCAAGCGGCCTCCAAGACGCCTCCCAAGAGAGCCCCAAGAGGCAAAAAACGTGTTTTTTATGTATTTTGTTTTTTCCTCCTTTTCATTGGTTCTTTCAATGTTTTTTGTCTTCTCGCTTTTCCTGCTTTCCGACGCTCCAAGACGGCCCAAGAGGCCCCCAAGAGAGCCCCAGGACGGCCCAAGAGGCCCCTAAGCCGGCCCCAAGACGGCCCAAGAAGCCCCCAAAGGCGTCCCGAGACGGCCCAAAAGGCCCCCAGGACGGCCCAGGAGCCGCCCAAGACAGCTCCAGGAGGGCCCCGCCATGGCCTGAAGACTGCCTAAGCGAGCCCAGCGGACCTCCAACACGCGCCAGCATGGCCTCCAAACGAGGCCAGAAGCCACCAACACGCCCCAAGCGGCCTCCAAGAGGCCTCCCAAGGAGCCCCAAGAGGCCACAAACGTTGATTTTTCATTGTTGTTTTCTATTTGTTTTGCCTTCTCGCTTTTTCTGTTTTCCGACGCTGCCAGACGGCCCAAGAGGCACCCAAGACAACCCCAGGACGGCCCCAGAAGCCCCTGAGCCGGCCCCAAGACAGCCCAAGAGGCCCCCAAAGGCGTCCCAAGATGGCCCAAGTGACCCCCAAGACAACCCAGGAGCCGCTCAAGACAGCCCCAGGAGGGCCCCGACATGGCCTGACGACTGCCTAAAAGGCCAGCCCAGCATGGCCTCCAGACGAGCCCACAGGCCACCAACACGCCCCAAGCGGCCTCCAAGAGGCCTCCCAAGAGAACCCCAAGAGGCCACAAACGCTGATTTGTCATTGGTTCTTTCGATGTTTTTCGCGTTCTTGCTTTTTTTGCTTTCCGACGATCCAAGACGGCCCAAGAGGCCCCCAAGAGAGCCCCAGGACGGCCCAAGAGACCCTGAAGCCGGGCCCAAGACGGCCCAAGACGCCCCCAAAGGCGTCCCGAGACGGCCCAAAAGCGCCGCAGGACGGCGCAGGAGTCGCCCAAGACGGCCCCAGGAGGGCCCCGACATGGCCTCAAGATTGCCTAAGCGAGCCCAGCGGACCCCAAGAGGGCCCCACGAGGCCGCAAGAAACCCCCCGAGGCCACCCAAGCGCCCCCCAAAAGGCTCCCCGGAGGCTCCCAAGAGGCTCAACAACTCCTCCGAATACGCCCACAGAGACTTCCAGTATGCCTCCAAAAACTGACCCCGAGAGGGTCATGCGAGGCCCCAAGACAGCCCAATGATGGCCACGCGAGAGCCACACCATACATTATGATGATGAGGAGGCGTACGTAATGGTGGCGAGGGATGCTGACGACAAGCATGGAAGGGGAGCGAAGGATGAGGAGGACTGGGGAGTGACTCGAGGTGAGGAAGGTCGAGAACGAGGTGTAGGAAGAGAAGGAGCGGCAGATTGAAGAGAGCGGGGAGGACACGGAGGAGGCTGATGATGATGAGGAGGAGGAGGACGAGGCGGAGAGGAGGACGGGGAGCAGTGACGTAACCAGCCCTTAACATTTACGCTCCCAAGAGCGAAGGGTGCCATGAGCCGTCTCGGGCAAGTTCCTTCAGCGCTCTTTCCGTTTACGTGCACAACCATTGGCCCATCCATGGAGCCATGACGGGGCCCAGGTCAGCGCCGAGGCTGTTCCTGGAGCTTCCAACAAGGTCTCCGAGTTGCATTTCCGCGTCCTGCTCCACCGACCCCGTACCCCATATCGGCTGAAGACATGATGTTGCTGCCTCCGCAGTCACCAGTCAGTATTCTCCTGCTTACTTCTACGGCATTGCAGGCTGCCATCCATATCGCGTGTCGAGCCGCCGCTCCCTGCACCTCCGTATTCGTGGTCATGGCTCCAGCTGTTACTGAGAGGCCGCGACGCACGTGTCATAACTATCAAATTTGCAGTGGACTCCAAGCTCAGATCCCAGTCGAAGGCACCAACAAACGAGAACGTCAAAGATTTTGCAAGCGGTGTCTTTCGGTAGATGCACGGTGTGCCCACCCCCAGTGCGAGGCTCCTGTAGCCCCACCCTTCCGACGGCCAAAAACACATGTCACGCCTACTTTCTGCACAACGCACTATTCCGACCCATGCCACAATACCACGCGTGAGTGGAACTTGTGTAGGAACGCCCGCGTCGGCTGCCGCCTTCTGGCAACCAACAAATCATCTGGCCCGTGCTTTCCGTGCTCCCAAGGCTCCCTGCCCTGTCGCTTCGCGGTGCTGGGGTGTCCTTCCCACGTCCTGCAAAAGGTCAAAAATGCACCCGGCCGGCTTCCGCAATGCGTTAACCATCACAACAACCATTCTTGCCCCTACAACCCTGGTCGGCACTTCGCCTGCGCATCGCCTGGCTGCCAGGAGGAACGGAGCGATGCAGCCCACAGTACTTGCGTCCCATGCCAAGCC